TCAAACCGCCCATAAAAAGCCACTTTATTCAAAAAGTAGTACACGAATCCCCATGTATCAACCCGAAATTACTATAAATAGTGGGCCTATGACATTTGTAAAGGGGGGGGGACTTTCTTCGAATTCTCCGAACTGTAAACACTTTACTAAGCAACACGTAAAAGCCCATCACGGCTCTTCACCTCGGTTCACCTCGGACCGGGGCCACTGTCGATCTAATCTTACATTCTTTACGTCCAAATTATTCAATATTATCCACGTAATTACATGTTCTATCGTTGTTAACAATCACATAACAACATATATATAATCACAAATACTACATTTTTTTTTAAGTCATTCAAGTTCTCAAGAACCTTCCAAATATATATAGGTGAGATTCTCCAAAAGTATCATATACCCATCAATTCCAATTATATGTAAGAAATGGTTTCTTTCCATACCATCCGATATTTAGGTCGACTATCTGAATCCTCTGTTGTTCTCTACTAGCTCAGAATGATATACGAGGACTCTAACCCTTAACTTGCATATATTCTACTATAAACTTGTGCAAGTTGATTCGAACTTCTCCAGTCGTTGTAATGCATGAACTATGCTACTAACTCACCACCAAAACTGTATATGAACCGAATTGTACCTATTATTTATTGAGTGATGGCCAAGTTGTTGAAGTTATATCACCATCAGTCGCGATATTTGATAGCTCTATAGACAAAATTTATGTGACTTCTTAAAAGGAAACAATTACACCCAAAATGTAAAAGGTTAAAAGTAGTTTGAATTCAAATCCAGTACTATATAATATAGAGTGATGTACTTGAAATAGTATTAAATTTCGGCTTGAAATTTTTAAAGTTACTATTCTTAGTTTTTTTTTTTTTTTAAATGGCGGTTGAATGAAAATTCGAATTCAAATTAAAAAAATGTTATTTGAGAAATATATTGTGTAAACCTTAATTCATAAAAATATAAGCAATGATTTCCTTGAATGATACGACCAATAATGGAAAAGCGGGATATTTCAAAAAAATAAAAAACATTACTATGTGTAATAAATATTCATGCAACATTTCTAATTATCTTTTAGTTACTATTTTAGGGTTTTTTTGGATTATCTTTTTATATAATAATAGATTTCTTAAAATTTTAATTTTAAAATTGTCATAATTGATCCTAATAGTTAGGCATGTTGATTTGTATGAGGTGATTTCTCAAGAGTGAAATTTATAATATAATTTTTTCTATCAAAAAGTTCTTATCAACATAACATATATGTATTATCAAACCTCAAAATATTTTTTTGAAAAGAAAAAAATTCCTCTTTATAAATTATTTATCCGCACTATATTAGATGAAAGAAAATATTTGCTTCTATACAATACATTTCATCTAATAATTGCAATATTTAAAGTAATTGATTTAGTTAAAGCAACCACGTACAAACTCGTAGAGATTGGTATCATGATTATAGCTCATTAATTATTAAAAAAAAAAAATAATAAATTGATTTTCAAATAATTTCTTAAATAAGTAAGTCAAATCATTTATTTATTTAATCAAACTGTCTATTTCATTAATTCTCCAACAACCTTTTTATATTAGTATAGATTTTTTTTTAATATTATAGGTTTATCTCGTTTTTTATTTTATTTATTTATTTTTATTTTTTTGTGAAAACCAAAAAAAAAAAAGGTCCAATGTAAGTCCGGCCACAATTCCTCCCTATATATTAATGTGTCGAGCCTAACTGACAGATTCTCACGCTTATGCTTCGTGATGTTGTTTTTATATTATTTTTGCTATGAAATTAAGTTTGATATTAGACATAAATAACTTTACACGTATATTTATTTTTTTTTGGTACAAGGACCTTCCGATTTCCGAATCCACAGGGGAACCGACTAATCCGGAATCGAGCCGGGTAGGACTACAAGGGCGGCAAAGCTCTCCCTCAAGAGTTTTAACATTACACGTATATTTATTAACTCAACATACTTTACATATATATTTATATATATATCAACTCAATGAGTATTAATACTAGTTAAATTTAAAAGAAAACGAATCAATATAATTGAAAATAAACAGGTCCATCTATTTTCTCTGACGCAGTACGAACACGATCAGCTCCTTTTAGCTCCGGAGTCCGGACACCGAGTCGAGAATTCATCTCGCCGGATTTCGATAGAGCTGAGTCCCTGACGTCGCCGGTATTTATCTGTCTGTTACTACGATCTTGAGTTAATATTAAATTATTAATCAATCCATAGTTTTATCGATTGGGTAAAATTCAGCCTATTTTTCGTGTAGGAAGCTCATTTAATAATATATATACAATTTTTTTTTTGTTCGGTAATTAGTTATGAAATTGAGCATTTCATATTGTCAAATATGTCCGAAAATGTGATACCTAGCATTATGGGGACGGAGAGAATGAGGGTTGCTGTGCTTAGGGTTACTGCTATTTAAGTTTTTTTTTTTTTTTTTTTTTTTTTTTTTGAGTTATTGTTGGGGGGTTTATATAATATTTGTTAATTGTTTAGAAAAATATAGGGTAGTATTAAATTAGCAGTTGCCTCTCTGGTTTTCAGCTTTTTGTGAAGCTGGGTAGTTCCAGTTCAAGGCGACGATAGCAAGTATTAGCGTCAAGGGATAGCCCTAGACAAATTAGGTACTCAATTGTCCGGTATTAGTTGCCGGAATTTTCTCGTTGGGATATTGTGCGTGAAGCAGTTTCAGCAAACCCTTCACTCTCCATTAACTGAAAGCAGTAATCTTGGTGAATCTTTTCTTGTTATGGTGTTGTATTGAATTCTCACAGGAATCATCCTTGAAGCCAAGCTTTCAATGTTGACCGGCTCTGACCCGTACAACAATGATACCCGGGGCTCCACTGACTTTCTAAATAAAGATGTTAGTACTTAGTACTCCAGACGATTCTCATATCCATGTTTTTCTTGATATTCTTGACGGAAAATTTGTTGAAGTTGTTTTTCTATATTTTTCCTTTTATATTCCAGATTATGTCATCTCGCCCAGTGGGTAATGGTACGGAGTATTTTCCTGGTTTTCTATCCGAACCTAGTGCTGGTGGATTAACCCTTGGAGCTAGTTATAAAGGATATGAAAATTCATTTGAGAATCCAAATCTACACGGCCACCGACGAGAAGGGCCTGGCCTTAGTGGACCGCCTTCTGGACCCAGCAATATTAGAGGATACGAAACCCCATTTGATGATCCAAATTTGCTCGTCCGCGCACGAGATGGATCATTCAGTGGATTGACTGGTGGAGCTAGTGTTAGAGGCTACCAAGCTTCGTTTGAGGACCCAAATTTGCTCGGCCAACGGCGGGATGTTGGGGCTAGCATTCCTGATGTGGGCTCTGGAAGGCCTAATTCCATGAGAAGGTCTGCTGGTCCTCCAGTGGAGGCTGATGGAGCAGTGTCGAATGTGCTGTTTGTTGATGGGCTTCCTACTGACTGTACCAGAAGAGAAGTGGGACGTATCCTTTTTTCTTTTCTTTTTGCCTTCACTAAAATGAAATTTTCAGATCTAGTTTCGAGTTTGCCCATGTCTCATGTTACTTAACTGCTACTTATTGTCTCTGTGGAGATCATACACATTGAAAATGCATTTTAGCTTCTTTTTGTCCTATGAATTTGGGTTTAAAGTTATCAAGTTTGTGATTGACAACGTATATAGTATATGCTGTTTAAATTACATCAGTTTGTTATCGACCTATCACCTATGTGGGCTATGTTGTTTTACTTGCGCTTTCTTATTACTTCTATTCAGAAGTTTGTTCCTTGACTTGTAAATAGATCTTTTCCGACCGTTTATCGGGTTTAGAGAACTTCGACTTGTCCATAAGGAGCCCAGACGTGTAAGTTTTTCACTTCATTGTGTATGGCTCACGAGAATGTCTTCTAATCAATGGTGCAGCACGTAGAAACTTAGATTTAAGTAGAATTTGCTGCCATGTTATTTTGTTTAGCACTTCTATTCGTATAGTTATCTCGACCCAAGAAGTTTGCTGTGTAAATATTTGTATATAGATGTTTATATTACCCTTGGTTTGTCGAACTATGCCTTTGGGTACCATTATTTGGATATTCACATGTCGACTGAGAATCACTAAAATAATGAACTGAAAACAGAAATCAAAGTGTATTATGGGACGTTGGGACATCTTCCAAGTAACTGTTATTGCTGTTTGCTCGAAATAATTATATATCTTGTATTTACACCTTACTTAACATTGCTGCTAATTCCTCTACTTATTGGTTAATTGATATATTCGTCACAAAACCTGTTCTTGTGGCAGCGTGGGGACAAGGCCATGGTGCTGTGCTTTGTCGAGTTCGCTGATGCAAAGTGTGCTCTTACTGCTTTGGAGGCCCTTCAAGGTAGTAATCCATCTCTCTATTAATTACTCAAAGTTAGCAAATCCTTGCTAGGTTTTGTGGACTACTAAGATATTTTGTCGTCTTTATGAGTGGGTTAGATACATAAACCAATACTTAGGAAGCAATACTGTAAGTATAAGTGGAAGATTAACGGGTTGTATACTGAAAGCAATGGTTGTGCAATTTACTATATGTATGAATTTGCATTTGTCTTGAAAATAATATAGTGTGACGTCGTTGCACAGATGATTATATTACCGGTTCCATGTACAAGAATATGGTTCATAATCGAAATAGCAATGGGCAAACTTATCTAGTATCAATTTATCTTGACTAATGGGTTCTACTAGTACACTTTGTATTGGACTGTACCACGGAGTAGTTTTTTTTTTTTTTTTTTTTTTTTTTTTTTTTTTTTTTTTTTTTTTATACTGACCAGTAAATGAACTAGACCTCTTGATATCACTCCTACTCTAAACCCGAAGGATAATGATGGGCACGTGTGATTAATAATTATTTTTTAATTTCACCAAACAGTGAGACTTATTTGTTGAGTCAATAAGCTGGTGAGTTGAGCGATATTATTATTCACATGGTGTGTCGTCGATTATGTTCGATTACTGTGTCGTGGTGTGCTAGGGTGATGATGTCCTCAAAATGAGGTCAAAAGGATTATTATGTCAAGCCCTGCACGCGGATTGAGTTCTGACATAATAAGGTTGAATATCAGGAAGTTAAAAAATTAAATTGTCAATAATGAAACTAATGAACGGACGTTCGATATCTTAAACACGGTGAGATGGGGTGAGGAAAAGGTAGTGCCATAATAAATTTTTAGTAGACTTATTTATTATTAATGGGCTAAAGAATAGGAGCCCAAGTATTTCTTAGGACCTAATCCTAATCTCTTAACGTCTTTATTGTAGCCTATATAAATATACTATGCGGGGTCTCATTCTCTAATCAGAGACACAAATATCTCGCAACACTCATAAAGAGAGAGGGCCGAGATCTGCAACACGTAGTTATTGTGGACTACTAAGTCTTGATATATTTTAGTCCTACAAATTGCATGTCCATGAGGGGATATTTGTTAGGTAAACACAAATGGCAAGAGCATGCTTCTATCATTTATAGGGTTTTATTTAATATTAGAACATGACCATTCTCTTCCTTTATGAAATTAGCTAAACCGTTTGAGGTGGTTTCCGTAATTATCCATCAAAACTTTGCTTTTCCCGTGCTTGTTTGCTCGTGATTCAGTGTCTGATTGTGCGTCTGAAAACTGCAGGTTACAAGTTTGATGACAAGAAGCCCGACTCCCCACTCTTGAAGATACATTTCGCTCATTTTCCCTTCCGTCTGCCGTCAGAGAGAGATGGCCCACGGGGATGAGTTGGGCCAGCCATATGCCTCGACAAGTGACCCAAAGTATTTTTTTCCTTGACGCTGTAAAACATTCTTGTCGATAAACAAAAATAAGCACAGCATTTGATGAGAGATGTTTAATTATATTTTCTTTAGCCAAAACTGGTGTATTGGTTCTTCCACAAGCTCATAGCCTCTTGCTGAAGTATCTTTGGCAGGATTTTTTAACACAAGTTTTATGTAGTGATAATGTTCTACGAAAAATCCCAATTGTTAGTCTTATACATGCAAATGTTGTGATGTATGAAAGCGTAAGAATGATAAACGAGATACTCTCTCGATAAAAACACACAATCAATTCATATTTTCATTCAATAATCAACTCTCTTAATAACAAAGTACAAGAACCCTTTAAATAAGACTCTTAAACTAAACTCTTGTTTAATCTCGAAGCTAACTACTACTACTACTACTACTACTACTAATAATAATAATAATAATAATAATAATAATAATAATAATAATAATAATAATAATAATAATAATAATAACAATTCTGCATCATTTCTCCCTGGTTGAGCAAGATCTCAAATTCGACACGTTCCTGTTGCAGACGTCCCCATGACAGGAATAGCCAAGACGTTTCCCCCGATCGAACACGAAGGGATGCAACCCGTCGTGAGGTACTTCAAGGAAAAATCGAATTTCGTGCATAGGCCAATTTCGGGAACAACTTCGACCGGTTATGCGCGGGAAATCGAATTTCGTGAAAGGCCAATCAAATTTCGTGCAGAGACCGATTCCCAGAACAATTTTGAATACATTTCATGCAGAGGCAAGTTTTTTACATCATGAGGTTGAGGACCAATTTCAGGGAAATTTCACAAAAAAATTCGACCGACTCTCATATTTCGACATCGAGAGGCGCCTGACCTCTTGCTGGTTTTAGGTGTGCTACTGTAGGTGAAGAATTTCATCACCTACGGCTGGGGAAACCTAGATCTCCCCCTCCGTCGCCTTCTATGTTAATCTCGACCAAGTCGAACCCCATCTCGAAGCGCGCGAGACCCTCACGATCCGTGACGACAGCCACCCGTATCAGTGCCATGCCACCCCCTAGCAAGCCCGCTTCCGCTCGCCCCCTCTGCCGTCCTCTTTGCATGAACGAGTTGCCCATCTCCCGTGCGTGCACTAACTTGTTGCCATCGCCAATTCTCGGGAACCTCCACTGAATCTCATCGAGCCACATGCTGCGGTGCTTTCATGCCGAATCAAGTTGGGACAAATCATGAGAAACTAAATTGGAGCTCGAGCAATTTGTGAAATTAGGGGTTTCTTATGGATGAGAGGGATTATGCGGAACCATGGTTGTAGCATCATTGACATTGATGATGAGTAAATAAACAACGATGGGCTGTGATGCAGGGTCGGGGATGGATTGCAATCAAAAAAGGGATGTGGTGGTGCGGAGGTCCGCGGCGGGCGGTGGATAGGGATGGCAATGGGACAGGTTAGGCTGGGTAGTTCAATACTCGGACCTGCCTCGCAACCCTAGGCATGCGCCCCGACCTGGCCCATGACCTGCCACGGGTCCCAGAAGGCAACCCCGCGACTTAGCCCGCGCTTGGGCAGGCTGCCCCAACCTGGCCCACTCTTTTTTTTTTGCTACAATGGCCTGCCCTTTGCTGGGGTGGGCTGCCTTGCCCTGCCCTGTTTTTTTCATCTATAAACTTAGTATTTTTGTAATTCACACAGAGAACACAACATCATTTGTATTTCTCTCATAAGAGCATAAACCTAACTCTAATTTACACACAAAGATATATAACAAATTAACAATGTGCTTCAAAGATAAAAGCCCATCAATTTCAAATATAACAACATTTTTTTTTTTTAAAATGTATGACCTTTCAAATCTACAAGTGGAGTCGGAGTCGAGTTGATGGGGCGGCGGGACTTCGAGGCGGTGAGGAATCAAAGGCGGTGTCTCAAAGATGGGGCGTCGAGGTGAGGCGCGAAGCCTTTGAGCCGAGGTGTCGAGTCGAGCCTTTGCGTTGGAGGAGAGGCGAGACAGTGTCGGAGGGGAGGAGAGGCAGACGATGGCTGGTGGGCTTGGCCGGTGGCCTGAATTTGAGAAGAGGGAGACTGGGAGAGGCGGTAGAATGAGGCTCAAAACCTGTCGCAATTTCACAGAGAGGCAGGGTAATGGGGCTGAAATTAATTCACACACACACACACACACACACATATATATATAACAAGTGGGTCGGGCAGGTCAGAAGCCGCCCCGACCCATTTTACAAACAGGACAGGCCAAGTATGCCCCACACCCTCCGGGTCAGGCCGCCGGGCTGGGTCCAGGTCGTTTTGTCATTCATAGCGGTGGAGGAGGGTGAGGATGGAAAGGAGCACGAGGAGAGAGAAATGAACTACCTTAAAGTTGTAATACACATGTACATACCTCTGTCTAAAAGTCGACCTAGGTGGCCGCCTAGGCGCTAGATGGTGTCCGGCCGCCTCCGATTTGAGAAATCGGCTGCAAAAATCGGTGAGGCGGCTAGGCGGCGCCTAGGCGGACCTAGGCGCTCCTAGGCGAGCTCAGCGGAAGTTTTA